ATAACACAGATGCGAGTAAGTAGTTACCAGTTCAACCACCAGGTGGCTCGTTCGGGTCAGATAGCATGGCGGGTATAGTAGAATGTTCCCTCTAACTTAAATTACATCTGTTTTAGTGGTTCAATTTTCATATAACCCTTATGTATCTAACTATTATGTAAATTAAAATATGTCCAGTAAAAGAAAATGTTATCTGTCCAATACAAGAAAAGATATTTCACTTTTTGTGATTTTGTAACATGGGGTCTATGGGGAATCAACCCGAACTAGAAGTCACATTTTCAAAAAAAATTAAATTTTCAAAGTTGATAAACAATTTTCGAAACCATATTTCTAGATGTACTTTTACATGTAGATTTCAAATATGACATCACTTTGAATTTTGAATATTTAATGACGTAAATCAAGATTATTTTTACTCGCATCTAGTCTATTGCCAAGCTCCAACCACAAACCGCCGACCACTGACCACTGTCAAAAAAGAACAGAGACCATAACGATATGTCACCACTTTTTGTTGGTGACATAAAAATGATAACATGATATGAACCATCCTAAGCAGGTGTCCAGAATCCGTACCTCCTTCTTCCCCCTGCTATTACCAATTTGGACGTGCCGATTTAACTGAATCACATGATCTAATTATGCACAATGATGTATACATGATTTCTGTCGCAGTGTTGCGACAGCCAATCAGATTGCGAGTTCTTAATTGGGGAAATGGTAACTGCTTATTGCTGGGGGTAAATTGACCCATATAGGCAAAAAACATGTTAGAGTTTGAGTTTTTTCTTTATGGTAATGTGTTGGGGACATGTTGGTGCTACTTTTAGGAAAGTTCCATTAATATTAAAATGAGATTGATTGAGAAATTAAAAAATCAGTTCCAATCAATGTCTCTCAACCCCTCTAAATTCTATGATTTTAGGGTGAAAAAATGTTGCTGTTTTTAAATAAAAGTTAAAATCCTTCAATTTTTTTACATATGCATTTCAAGTATGATTACTCTTAACAGAAACACCAAAAGAAAGAAGCATTGGTTGTTTAGTTTTTGTTTTATAGCTAAATAATAATGTACCCCCAAGAAATCTGAATTTTAGGGTCGAAAATGCAATTTTAACATCTTTCGCACCATTTGCGGCGCATAAGACCAGTAAAATCTGTTGAGATAGACCTAAATACTTAACCTAAGTCACAAGAGAAATTGTCCCGACAACACCCTGATCGAAGTGCCTCAGATCGCTACCTAAAGAGACATACATACATACAATAGGTTACAATAGGTTGAAATAGGTTAAAATCATTAAAAATACATTTCCTTTAAAAAGTCGTAAACACATTTCTCAAATTTATTTATTTGGTCCTGCCCCCATGTGCCCATGTAAAGTGAATCACCAATAATCCATTGTAGCTTATCATTAAGGCTCGCTGATAAGTATTCACCTACAAGGGCAACGTCACATGAAGAGATTAAATTGTTAATGAATAGGTTTCTTTTATCCTGGAGGACGGGGCAAAGGAACAGGCGATGGGACATAGAGTCATAAGAATTGGAGGGGCATAATTTACAAAAGCCATCACTTTTATTCCACCTTTTAAGGTCTGATTCTAATTTAAAGCAACCCGACCTAGCTAAGAATTTTTTCTTGCTCCTTGGAAGTTGAATGGTTTTTTTAGATACTCTTCTTCTTCTTAACATTTCTATAAAGGGATAGGGATGGCCAGTCGCAAATTGATGAAAACAATTCCTTAGTAGTAATTTCGTTGGAAATATTGAGAAAGGATGAGTACCATTCTTCAGAATTAACATTCAATTTATTATCGAGCCCATGGTGCACTAATATATTTGCTATGTTAGAAACATACTTCCAATTAGATTCTTTATTTATTGAATATGATTCCAAGAGGGCAGATAAAACCTTTGATACTAAGGTTTGTGAGTTTTTATTCTTTAGATAGCAGAAATAGTCAATTTGACGTTTTTGAAAGATCTTTTCAATTGGACGCCACCCCATATCACAGACAAGGGCTTCATAAGCTGGGGAACACTTAAGGCTAAGAATGGATAAACCAGCTTGGTATTGATACGACTTTAAATTTTTCTTCATTTCGCTTGTGTTTGGAAGGAGGACTCCAGCTCCATGCAATATTGAAGGAAGGAACATGTTATTATACATGGTGTTACCAAATTGAATTCGTTGGATATTACAATGTTTGTTGAGGGTTGAGGTTATATAACCTTTTAAACCAAGAATATTATTAATATGGTGCGAGTCTTTCAGTGTTTTGTCAAAATAAACGCCAAGGTACTTATATGTTTTTACTTCATTGAGGGAGAGCTCACCAAGCTTCCAAACTTTATGTTTGTTAACTTTTCCACCTATGATCATAACTTTAGACTTTTTTGAGCTGAAACTAAACCCCCATTTTTTACCAAATTCGTTTGTAATATCAAGCATTCTACAGAGATCAGATTCGCTGGTAGCTGTGAGGACGATGTCATCTGCAAAAAGCAATGCGGGTAGAGTTAGATCTTTGAAAGGGATACCCATATTATTTTCGATCAGGCTGTCAATCAAATCGGTCATAATTACAGTAAATAGAGTAGGTGAGAGTACACATCCCTGTTTTAGGCCAGATTCAACTTCGAAACATTCACTACCAAAATTACCAAATATAACTTTGTTTTTGACACATGCGTATAGATTTTTCAATACACGCCAGGCTTTGCCCTGGATTCCTTTCTTCCAAAGAGATATAAAGAGTTGTTCACGGTCAATAACGTCAAAGGCTTTCGATATATCGATGAAAGCTAGATAAGTCTTTTGATTTTTATCCCTACGGAGACTGCATATACCTTTAAGAGTGAAAATATTGTCTTCCAGTCGCCTACCTTTACGGAAGGCACCATGGTAGTCACCAAGCAGATTATTTTCTTCTAGGAAGGTCATTATTTCCGTTTCTAAAATGCTAGCATATAGTTTATACAGGTTGGACGTGATTGTGATGCCTCGGTAATTACCTAATTCTTTACGATCATTATCTTTATGAATGGGGTTAATGGTTCCTTCATACCAATCATCTGGGATAGTTTCCATAAGTTTGAAAAAGTCCCCGCCATTTTTCAAAAATTCATTGGGAATATGATCATTGCCGCTTGCTTTTCCATTTTTCAAGTTATTGATTTTCCTCAAAACTTCTGCTTCGGATATGATAAAATGGTTCAAACAATTTGGAGAAAATTTGGTTTCACTTTCAAGTTTATTTAGTTCATCAGACAGATTGGTCTTGACATAGTTGGGATTTCTACTTTTGGGTCCGACATTTGCCCAATATTTGCCAATCGTATGGGAAACTAGTTTGGGGTCGTCAATCGTAGAGTTGGGGTTAAATGGGTCAATGATTTCATTTGGGAATTTACTTTTAGCATTAAACATTTGGAGGGTTCGCCAAAAAGATCTAGATGATGAAGATTTACGTAGTGAATTTTTGGTAATAGTTTTGATATGATTCTTCACATGACGTTCCCTTATAAGGTCCTTTACTTTATTTTTTCGATCTAAGTAGGACTCCCATAATGTTAAAATAACATTTGGGTCAACAGATTTGACTTTACTCATATATCTATGAAGACGACACGCATCTTTACGACTTTTGATCAGGGCTTTCAATTCATCATCCCAAAAGTGGCGGAGTTTAGGGTTAATGAGGCTTCTACCAATAGTTGTATCTGCAACCTCAGTTAGAATAGTTTTCCAGCTTTTCCACGCTTCATTGACATTACTAAAATCATTTAGTGACCAATTTGAGAGTTTATCAGATAACATTTCACGGAAAGAAGTCCAATCTGTTGACTCATTGAAGTTCCACCTAAATGGCTTCTCTTGTTGGATGTTTACAGATTTAGGTTTAACTTCATTTGCATGTATTGTATATACAGTATCGAATAGTTCTTGAAAGAAAAACTTAATTGCTTTAAGATAAGGGTTCGCTATGTTATTTCTCTATTGAAAAAGCTCATGCTATGCATTGGTTTCAGTTCATTTTGGTCATCCAAATTCAGTATCTTTAAAGTCCCTGGAGCAATCAACTTTTCCTTTTAGGAAATCGAACATGTCTCAAAGCACATTCTTATTATGCATTCTACAATATAATAAAAGGTTGCATTTTTGATGAAAATTGGGTCAACATTTTTGAAAAAGTATGTTGATTGGTCCATTGTCCCTTCAATATCACTTAGGTCTGCTCCTTTGTATATAACTTGTATATAACTTGTATATACTACTGCTCCGTCAGAAAATTGCATTTCTGTGATCGCAGTGCTATTTCGCAACCCATTCACATAATTACCAATCTGGCACAAAAAACTCAGAAAACCCAAAATATTGAAGTTGACGCATTAAATCGCATAAATAAAATATTTCATTACCTTCTTAGATGATCATTTTGCAAATTTCAATTTTCTAATGATAAGTTCATCGTTTTTAATCCCATAATTCAAAATTTTGATGCGAAACACTTAGATTTTAAATCACAAAATTCACAATCTTATTTGCAAAATTTTGAAAAAATTTCTGAAGGTACAGATACAGGCTATCCCAGAAGTAATGATAATTATGCTCTTAAGAATTTTTTTGATAGGAAACAATATGAAATTAACTGAGATTAAAGATCAAAATGTAGGCTTCGTTTTGATATATCACAACACAGATGAGGAATTGCCATGCAGGGAGGTGGGCAGAGATGACAAATTAGAGCAGAGGTCTGTCGAAGTAAGCCCTCCCTAGCCCGGGCTATATTGATGAAAGACCTCGGGCATATATTCAATAATACAAACATAACTGCTTAATAAACCCTTGCTGCAAAGATTAGGTGGTGATATTTTGTCATGTTCATACCTGATTGTCTTGTTTTTACAAGGGAACATTCAATGTTGAAGGTGATTTGCCTAACCCCAATACACAGTAATAATCCTATTGCATTGATATAAAATGTTTTAGGTTGTTCAAAGGAGAAACGTTGCAAGACAATAGCTATAATTGCTGCAGGAATAATCCTTGGCTCTGTATTGTTGTCACCATTGCATTATCTTCTCTTCTGGTACTGCAAAGCTGGTAAGTCAGATTGACTCAAAGCCTCTGTAAATCTGATTCACATTGTCAGTTTCAGACTCTCAACCAATAAAGTATAAATTGCGAAGTCAACCAGAACTGGAGACTTTAATTTTGATAAATCCTGGTCAGGGTAGTGAAGTAGAAGGTGCCACTGAGCTTTAGATAAAGTTGGGGGAGGGAGGGGGGAGAAAAGTGGAATGCAAAAATTGTTAAATTTATCATATTATTCTGTTATTTCTATACATAATCTCACATTTTCTGCTATTTTTTCAAATCTTGTTATTAAGTAACTCAGAAATGTTTGGTGAAATAATACTGTTGGCTTTCCTGAAAGATGACTTAGTTAGCAGTTTTACAGGAAAAAGACAATGTTTGAAAAAATTAAAGGTTATTTGTTTGCAAATTGACTTTAATGGTTAAAATAGATTGAAATTTGTATTTATATATACAGGGTGTATACAGGGTGTATTTGGACATGTTTTCTCATCAGTAGTGTGAAAACTATTTCACTCTAACGATCGTTATAGCTGCTTAATAAGCAATATTCGAATTGGTTGTGACGTTATTGGCCCCCACGTGATCTCTCACTGGTCCCCACGTGGCCCATTTTGGTCCATTAGATCATGACGTCATAATGCCAAAATGTTTTGTTATTTGTTTACACAACAATCCTATGGTTGCCGTGACGTTGTGATTACTATGGAACCAATAAACCTAAGCTATATTTTGTATATGACGTTACTAATCACGTGGGGGCCAGTTTGATTTATCAGTTAGTTTTATTTCGTTATCTATGACCGTTAGCAGTTATCTAACATTTATTTTATAATGGCTATTGCAAGAACTCTACGGTGGGCTTACAATGGAGAAAACCACATTTTTGTAGCTGCAAGTTGAGAAAAGCTATTTCAGTTGTCCTTTAAGAGTAATACACAATTGATCATTATTTAAAAATATATAAGTATTATTGCTGATTTTGCAATATGCTAAAATAAATGTAACTCTTTTGGAGGTGCCAAAGTTCAAATTTCCCTTCATTTTCCACAATTTGGAAATCTGCAGTGATTAATTTTTTGGTTGCTCATGATCAATTTCAGCCTCTAAGGGGAGGCATCAAAAGTTCAATGTCGGATTGGAAACTAAATAAATCTAGTTTTGACTCTAACCCCCCTCCCCCAAAGGCTCCCAAAAACAAAATACCATGAAAGTTGATTGCTAAACACTATCTAGTTTTTGTTCTGAGTCAAAATTGCCAAAAATTTGAAATGTTGAAATTTGTCGGATAGCAAACTGAAATGGGTTTGAACCCCCTCCCCCCTAACTAGATTTATTTACTTTTCTATCCAACATCGAATTTTTGATGCCCCCTAACTCTCCATTAAAACAATGGTTTTTTCATTTCAATCAGGTGGTGTCATATTGTTAGAAAATGATTTACCTTTGAAATGATATATAACATATGGCATGGTTTAACATTATATCATATGATATTTATCCTTAAACTTGGGTATTTGTTTTTACCAGGTCATTCAATAAGTTCACAGAAAATGCCTCATTTCAAAGGTTTTATATACAGGGTGTGCCAAAAAATGTTGCAACTTTTTTAAAAGGCTAGAAAAGTATCATAACATTAATAGGGGCTCATATGGTAGCCAAAGGTGGGCCCGTCAGTGAGCAAATTTGAACCACATTATTTATCCAGGGAAACATGTCAGATTTAACGATTTGGAACTTTGACGCCCAAAAAGTGACCATTATGGATAGCTTTTCTAGGTTTTATACCCCCCGAGGTTATTTTCGAGGGGGTCTCAACTCTTTCTTAATAACTTTAAAAATATTAAAGATATGTGTCTGAAACTTGCAGGGTACCTTCCTGATGTCAACACATAGATGTATTGAAAGTTTAGGAGTATTTGGAATAACGGTTGCTATAGCAACCAAGAAAATGTGTTTCCAAACTGGCAATTTACAGCAATTTTGGCCTGTAGCAACCTGGTTGAAGTTAGATATTTTTTGTATTAATGAATTTTCACATTGTCAATTGGTTTCAAAAACACACTACAACTGTATTCTTTCATTTTATTGCAGATTAGAATTGACACCATTAGTATTAAAGGTCCATAATCGTACATGAATGAACCCACCCCCCAAAGTCTATAAAAAGTGGGCGTGGCACAAGACATGTACCAGTTTGTAATTCATAAGTTTAAACACCCAATAAATAATGTTGATATTTATGTAACCATCTTTCCAGTGGTAGTTGAAGAAGTTCTTTTAAAAAACTAGATATATTACCATGGAAACCATATATTTATGCCATAGCAACAGAACTATGGTAATGAAATAGCCAATAATTTGATCGAAGCCCTCGTGCATGTGGTCCCATATATACAAAATCAAATGTCCTGTATCTCTCAAAGATCTTAAAACCTTCCTGGGGTCAACACAGACCTGTATTGAAACTTTGGGATTATTTGGAGTAATGGTTGCTATAGCAACCAAGAAAATGTGTTTCCGAGCTGGACAATTTATGGCAATTTTGCCCCACTGCAACTTGGTTGAAGTTTGATATTTTTTCTAGTGATGAATTTTCACATTGATAATTGGTTTCAAAAACACACTACAACTGTATTCTTTCATTTTATTGCAGATTAGAATAACACCATTAATATGAAAGGTCCATAATCATACATGAATGAACCCCCCCCCCCAAGTCTATAAGAAGTGGGCGTGGCACCAGACATGTACCACTTTGTAATTCATGAGTATAAAAACCCAATAAATAATGTTGATATTTATGTTACCATGTTTCCAGTGGTAGTTGAAGAAGCTCTCCTAAAAATATAATCATATAATTAATATATACATATAATATCATATATAAATATATTATCATGGAAACCATACATTTATGTTGCCATAGAAACAACTTTGGTCTGTTAATGCAAGGCTTAATGAAATTATTCTTCATTTGACTATTCATTTGGCCATTTAGAGAAAACAACAAATGTATGAGTAAACTATATTGGCTGAATATATATCTTAGTAGTTTACATTCTTTGAAGTTCACATTTGTATGAGCTACTATTCTAGTATATGTGACACATCTCTATTCTAGAGTGATACTTTTACATTTGCTTGCAGAACGTGATATGTGATAGGCCCCAGAATGATGGCACTCAGAAGACTGCATATGATATCAAAAAATGAAGCTTGAAAGAGATAAGTAATACAGCATACTATGACCCTGTCATTTAGCCAACATATGAAGCTCTAAAGTTCTTAAACCAGTCTATTTCAGTTCTCCTCAGTCCTTTTTGAAAACTTCACCTATATAATTTTGTAGCTCATATGTGGGTTCTGACTCTTCCGGATCTGTCATAGCTGGCCTCATCACATCAACAATATCTTGTCGTAATATATTTGATGTGCACCAGTCTAGTTCTAGTACACAAGATTTCAACCCATTGTCTCTGGGAAATGAGAGTACAGGCTTGTGTTTCACACAAACTCTTCAATTACTGCCTGTGTTTCAGTTGTAATATTTGTAGATGACCCAATACATTAATTGAATGCATCTTGGTATTTCTGGCTATTGATTCATTGGCTTTGCTTTCACGGTTTCTCTGAGATCATCATTGAAGCTGGCATATATGCTAGTGGATCTCTTGAAGGTGTGCTAACTGGAAACCATTATAACAGATCAATCAGAGTGCCCAAAATCTTCCTGGAGTTGCTACAAAGGAATTTGTAAGACAAGTTTATCAGCAAGCTACCAATCCCCATGCTCTCACAAGAGGTTATTGTCATGTAATATCACGATTCATCCAAGCTAGCAGAGAATGAGTTTGACCTCCACTTACTCTGTTGAGCGTCTACAAGACCTATGTCCACTATTTTTCGCAATGGACCAGCCCAACTATGCTATATATCTAACAGCACAATATGTCATGCTTGCTAGCCTCAAGCATACAAACCTAGAGAAAGAAAGGCTATTGAGAGACCTTGGGTTTAGTGTTAATAAGTCCCAAGTACCTGCACTACATTTGCCAGTTGATCAAACCACTGAGCAGACTATCAATCAGAGTGAGAAATCTGAGGGGGTGGGTTATTGGATTTATCACCAATCCAAATGCCTACTACCATGCAAACATAGCAGGCTCTGAAGGTGTTTCAAAAGCAAGGGCCGCAATAGGTAACTTTTTAGACTCCTTTGAGACATATGCTATAATCAACTCTACTGTCTATCATCAGGAATGCGGCCTGTTCCAGATGTAGCTCAAGACCTACTGCATGTCAGATCCAGAGGCAAGGTGGAATTTGAAAAGATTTGTGAGTGACACCAAAAGTTTTCAAGATCCAGTGAAAAGAATAAAGATGAAGACATTTGTGACAATCGAGAAGGACATCCTGATAACATCTGACAAGTTTAGAGCTGAAAGGAATATTTTTTGACAGTAAGTTCTTATATCTCAAGAGAACAAGAAAGTTTTAGAGTATCCGCTTAGTCCAGTGTCATAGGTGCTAGGGTCTCCTGATGGTCTGCCAGCGAAGGCAGCAAAAGCAACACTCCTAAATGCTCTTGAGAATCTCCAACATCACCCTTCAAGACCAGCAAAAGATGAATCATTCTACATATATGATGGTAATGCTATCTATCACAGCTTAGTGCAGCGTCTATCCACCTTTGAAGAACTGGCAGAGCAAGTGTTTGACATGCTACCACTGAAGTCAGAGAGGGTAGATTTCTTAACTGACAGCTATCAAATACATAGATTCAATAAAAGAACCAGAGAGAATGAGAAAAGGAACATCAAAACCCTTCATGATCCAAGGACCAAATCCCTAAGAATTGGTAAGAATTTTTGAGCAACAGCCAAAACAAGACCCAACTAAACAGTCTTATCCTTCGCAAGTGGCAAGCAGATAAGTACTCAGCCAAGCTGAAGAACAGAAAAGTATGCTTTACATGTGCAAAATTCTCACTAGTGATGGTCTAAATGTCCGATCATATGTTGATAACAATCTACTGTCAACACAAGAAGAAGCAAACACCAAGATGAGTACATGTGAAGATGTTTTGATCAGTCAAAGAACATTATTGTACATTCCCCAGACACAGATTTTCTAGTCTTGATGATACACCATTCTCACAGGTTGTTATTGTGTTAGTGCATTTGTTCAACGAGGAAAAACCAGGCCCCCAACTCTGCTATTCAATAGCCAGAAATACCAAGATGCATTCAATTAATGTATTGGGTCATCTACAAATATTACAACTGAAACACAGGCTGTAATTGAAGAGTTTGTGTGTAACACAAGCCTGTACTCTCATCTCCCAGAGGCAATAGGTTGAAATCTTGTGTACTAGAACTAGACTGGTGCACATCAAATATATTACGACAAGATCTTGTTGATGTGATGAGGCCAGCTATGACAGATCATCAGGAAGAGTCAGAACCCACATATGATCTTCAAAATTATATAGGTGAAGTTTTCAAAAAGGACTAAGGAGGACTGAAATAGACTGGTTTAAGAACTTTACAGCTTCATCTGTTGGTTAAATGACAGGGTCATAGTATGCTGTATTACTTATCTCTTTTTCAAGCTTCATTTGATATCATATAAAGTCTTCTGAGTGCCATCACTCTGGGGCCTATCACATATCACCTTCTGCAAGCAAATGTAAAAGTATCACTATAGAATAGAGATGTGTCAGATATACTAGAATAATAGCTCATACAAATGTGAACTACAAAGAATGTAAACTACTAGGATATATATTCAGCCAATATAGTTTACTCATACATTTGTTGTTTTCTCTAAATGGCCAAATGAATAGTCAAATGAAGAATAATTTCATTAAGCATAATGTAACATAACATAAATGTATGGTTTCCATGATAATATATTTATATATGATATTATATGTATATATTTATTATATGATTATTATATTTTTAGGAGAGCTTCTTCAACTACCACTGGAAACATGGTAACATAAATATCAACATTATTTATTGGGTTTTTAATTTTATACTCATGAATTACAAAGTGGTACATGTCTGGTGCCACGCCCACTTCTTATAGACTTGGGGGGGGGGGGGTTCTTTCATGTATGATTATGGACCTTTCATACTAATGGTGTCATTCTATTCTGCAATAAAATGAAAGAATACATTTTGTGTGTTTTTGAAACCAATTATCAATGTGAAAATTCATCACTAGAAAAAATATCAAACTTCAACCAAGTTGCAATGGGGCAAAATTGCCATAAATTGTCCAGCTCGGAAAAACATTTTCTTGGTTGCTATAGCAACCATCACTCCAAATAATCCCAAAGTTTCAATACAGCTCTGTGTTGACCCCAGGAAGGTTTTAAGATCTTTGAGAGATACAGGACATTTGAATTTTGTATATATGGGACCACATGCACGAGGGCTTCGATCAAATTATTGGCTATTTCATTACCATAGTTCTGTTGCTATGGCAACATAAATATATGGTTTCCATGGTAATATATCTAGTTTTTTAAAAGAACTTCTTCAACTACCACTGGAAACAGGGTACCATAAATATCAACACTATTTATTGGGTGTTTAAACTTATGAATTACAAACTGGTACATGTCTTGTGCCACGCCCACTTTTTATAGACTTTGGGGGTGGGTTCATTCATGTACGATTATGGACCTTTAATACTAAAGGTGTCAATTCTAATCTGCAATAAAATGAAAGAATACAGTTGTAGTGTGTTTTTGAAACCAATTGACAATGTGAAAATTCATCAATACAAAAAATATCTAACTTCAACCAGGTTGCTACAGGCCAAAATTGCTGTAAATTGCCAGTTCGGAAACACATTTTCTTGGTTGCTATAGCAACCGTTATTCCAAATACTCCTAAACTTTCAATACATCTATGTGTTGACCCCAGGAAGGTACCCTGCAAGTTTCAGACACATATCTATAATATTTTTAAAGTTATTAAGAAAGAGTTGAGACCCCCTCGAAAATAACCTTGGGGGGTATAAAACCTAGAAAAGCTATCCATAATGGTCGCTTTTTGGGCGTCAAAGTTCCAAATCATTAAATCTGACATGTTTCCCGAGGTAAATAATGTGGTTCAAATTTGCTCACTGACGGGCCCACCTTTGGCTACCATATGAGCCCCTATAAGGTATTGGCATAAAATATTATTTACAGAAACTTAAGGATAGGCATATTTTAACATTCAAATACTAAACCTTAAATTGACTTGCAATTTGATTGCTCAGAAATATCTTGCTTTAGTTTCTGCGCGAGGTTCCATTTTTTCGTTCAGTTTCTTGCGCATGCGCATTCTTAAATAATGTTCACATGATCGCACTACTTGACCAATAGAAAATGTTTTAAATCGAGTCTTCAGCTAGCGGCCAATCGTAGGACTCGTACTGTACTGCTCGGAAATCGAGAATTGCCTCGTACTATTTCAATCAGAAATCAACTTCCGGGAAGGAAGCTTAGAAAGAAAATTTTATGTCTTTTAGAAATAGAATTTCCTTCAATTATTTAGTGGATTCTGATGAAATAAAGAGACTGAAGGTAAGATCATTATTAAATCATTCATCCAAACTTGATTTTGTGCATATGACTTGCACTGCGTCTACAAAACGCAATAAATTTTTATTTCCGGGTCCAAGGGATATATTTTGCGTGTATATATTGTAAGGACGGCATTATTGAAAACCATTAGTTAACATAATAAATGTGTTATTGTGGATCACATAAATCACATTTTCATAAGTCACATTTTCTAGGAAAAACGGTAAATCTCAGACACATGAACACTTGACCATTGATATTTAAAGATCTGACATGAAAATTTGAAGTCAGTTCTAGCTTTTGTATTTGAATGGTAAAATATGCCTATCCTTTTAGTTTCTGTAAATCATTGTTTTATGCCAATACTTAAATGTTATGATATTTTTCTAGCCTTTAAAAAAAGTTGCAAAATTTTTTGGCACACCCTGTATATATATTTTTGATTGAAAATTAAACTGATAAGTGGTCCTTTTGACAGGAGTACACCTCTTAACGATACCATATATAATACCCACACCCCCATATGCCATTGCCAATACACTGATTAAGTACACTGACCTTTCCAGGGGGAATATGTGGTAAAACATTTGTCAGCAGTTGTGAAGATGGCTGGGTTAAATATGAAACAAGTTGCTACTCTTTCATAAACAGCATCAATGACAGTAGCTTATCATTTGATGATGGTCAACAGAAATGCTCAAAAATGATCAAAGTTGATGAGGATGAGGTCAACCACGAGGGACATGCAAACACACCTTATTTAGCTTGCATTGATGATATATATGAAAATCATTTCATACAAAGCTATCTAAAGGATCATTATATAGAAGGAGGTACATGGCGTATTGGGGCCAAGTTTGATCAAGGAACTGACGCATACATTTGTGAGTCAACTCTATACAAAAGTGCTCCAATTGGCTACAGTAACATGGACAATACTCAGTTGGTAACTAAGGAGGACAAGAATCAATGCATGGTCATTACAAAGCTCTTACTTGGCTACAAATGGCAGAAACAAAACTGTGGTGTGAAACATGTGCCTCATATCTGTGAAGTGAATGGTAAGAAGCATATTTATTGAAAAAATCTAAACTCATCTTATGATAGGTTTAAATACAATTCTTGGTTCTCAGATTGTTTCTTATATTTTTATTATGATTGATTATGATTATCTTGTTTTATTTTATGGTGATTTTTTCAAACACTGAATTGCAATAAGCCAATAAGTGGGATTGTGGTTGTGCCATCTTTTTTCCATGAACATTTCATCCAAATTAAGTTTGGTAAGGATATAGCAAAGCCCTCAGTCCATCTGTCCATCACCATACAGGGAAGGAGAATGTTTCAACTGCAACAAAGTAAAAACATTCAACCCACACAAGCCTGGGGAACCTGCTTTTATAAATGATGTGGATTTTTAATGTACTTAATCATGACTTTCACATTAAGGGCAGAATCAGATCTAACAATGTAATAGTATAATCTTTGGATTGCCAGAGTTGTATGACATTTGATGAGTGTAAATGTTGTGTTTGGAGCATTTTACTATAGCCATTTTGTAGGAAATAAATCTAAAAATGCATATTAATCTATTGATTTAAAGTATGACCTAAATCAATTACAAACTTCGTATTTGCACATTTGATGACCATTTTTGTCATATTGTTCAATTATTAATTCCATCGAACAAAGTTCAGAAGGATATAATGAACGCCTCGGTCCATACGCACATGCGTCGGTCCAGGCGATAACTCCTATACCTTGGGCCGGATTTTGTTCATATTTTGTACACATGTGCCCAATGGGAATAGAAGTTTTGCTGATATCAGATTTTCAAATTGGCCACTCATGTAAAAATGTTTGCCATTTTAGTGTCGATTTTTCCAGTACTTTAGTACAATATATAAACTCTAATATCAGAATGTTTTGAATGTAATAAAGTTATATAGGACATTAATACATCTAAAAATGTATATATTTAATATAAGAAACATGTGACAGCCTTACATGCTATTTTACAATTTTGACTGCAACTTGAAAAGGTTATGGAGCGATTTTGTTCATATTTGATATGTGAATACTCATAAGCATGCATGGCACACGGTTTTATGACACTTTGGCTAGAAGGAGCAATATTGAAAATGGCCGTCATTTTTATAGACTAGAATCAGGGGGTTGAAAATATAATGACATCTTATATTTTGACGAGCAGGCAAGTCATGTTCACTAATTTAAAGGAAAAGGGTTCCTAAATTGATACTGAGATTTAACAAAACGAAATAGGTGTCAAAATATGTGTTTTTGGGTAAAAAATATGTTTTTTGCTGAATTTTTAAAAAAAATTAAAACATTTTTTTAGAAGTTTTATTTTAGTAAATACAGTCTGGTTGACAACGGAAAAGTGAAAATAAATCAGTTTTGATCGAATTTGGTGATTTTTGGGAGGTTTTAAAGATTTATCTTGTGGTTGTCATAGTAGTATAGTAGGAACAAGGGGTCCCCATGCACCCATAAGGTGTGAATAAGTTACATACATTTTTGTCATCCCTAGGGTGTCTATTTAATGAATTCATTTGTTAACATTGCCAACTAATGTCCCATAGTACTTTTATGGCGGCATTCAGTTACCATGGTTACGCATCTTTAGACATCTTACCTTGGTATCTTAAATCATTTGTAGCTCTGTCATTATTTGGTCTATAGAAATGATATTGGTACCAAATTGAACCTCGTTAAATTTTCAATAAATTTCTGATATTCAATAATGCAAATTATCTAATTTGCATAAATTATGACGTCATCAATCTATTTTTGGTTCAGAATTTCCAACTATAGCAACGTATCTATTAGAACTGAGGCCGTATGGCAAAATTTCTGAAAGGTTTTGTCCTTTATTCTATTAGTAGAAGGTATATGCAACATAAAAGTGAAAACACGTTCGAAATTGAATCAGTATTACGTAACTTTCGAGGCAGCTATCGTGAATGTCATTATTTGACAATAATATACATACATCTTACCTTGGAGTCTTGAATCAATGTAGCTTCGCCATTATTTGGTCTATAGAGATGCTATTGGTATCTGATTAAACCTTATTAAAATTTACTATATGGTTACAATATTCAGTTATGCAAATTAGCTAATTTGCATTAATTGTGACGTCATCAATCCATTTTTGGTTCAGAATATCCTAGTATAGCAACATATCTATTAGAACTGAGGCCGTATGACAGAATGTGTGCAAAGTTTTGTCCCTTATTTGATGAGTGAAAGATATAAGCAACATTAAAGAGACAACAAATCTTCAAAATTGGATCAGAATTAACAAAATTATCCAGCTTTGGACGCAGCTACTGTGAACGTCATTGTTTGACAATTATAAAAAGAATATTAAATTAACAAAAAAAGTAACAACCATAGTTGTTTCAATCTTATTGAGTAAAAATGTGCATGTATTGAACTGAACTAATAAGTATGTGGAAAGGTTACATGTATTTTGACTATCATTCACAGGGGTCAAAACGGTTATCTCGACCCTGTATATTAAAGATCCAATTTTATAATTTACCATGCACTTTCAATGATTCATATAAATAGTATACATATAGTCTGATTTTCATCATATTCTTGATTCTTAAAGAATCTGAAGTATATAGCATGATTAGAAGTGAAGATGATTCATCATATGGTTTATGTAATATTTCTAACATTTCAGATGCTATGGTAACATCACTTGATAATGAGGTTTTTACATTTCACGTTCTTAATGAGTTAAAAGAAAGTTATTCTCCCTTTGCTTTAGAGATAAATAGATAAATGAATTTGTTTAAAAAAATTATAACTTAATTTAACCCTCTCCTGACAGCCCCCATATTTGAAGATTTTGGTGAAACCTGGCAAAATACATTAATTATTAGGTTCCAGAAGCCCCCAGAAGCTATATGATGGCCCCCAGTGGCCCCAAGAATCTATACAGGGGCCCCAAGTGGCCCCAAGAAGGTATACGATGGCCCCCAGAAGCTATACAAGGGCCCACAGAAACTATACTGTGGTCTCCAGAAGCTATATGGTGGCCCCCAATGGCCCTCAGAAGCTATATGATGGCCCCCAGAAGCTAATTAGTGGCCCCCAGGAGCTATATGGTGGCACCCAGAAGCTAACAGGGAACCCCAGTGGCCCCAAGAAGCTATACGATGGCCCCCAGAAGCTATACAGTGGCCCCCAGAAGCTATACAGCAACCCCCAGAAGCTACACGATGGCCCCCAATGGCTCCCAGAAGCTATACAGGGCCCCCAGTAGCCCCTAGAAGCTATACGGTGGCCCCCAAAGCTATATGGTGGCCCATTGGGGGACACTGTATAGCTTCGAGGCCATCGTATAGCTTATGGGGGCTATCGTATAGTTTCTGCGGGCCCTTGCATAGCTTCTGGGGGCCATCTTATAGCTTCTGGGAGCCACTGGGGGCCCCTGTATAGCTTTTGAGGGCTACAGTACAGTTTCTGCAGGCCCTTGCATAGCTTCTGGGGGCCATCGTATAGCTTCTGGGAGCCACTGTGAGCCCCTGTATAGCTTCTGGGGGCCACTATATAGCTTTCAGGGCCACTGAGGGCCACCGTATAGCTTCTAGGGGCTACTGGGGGGGGCCCTTTATAGCTTCTGGGAGCCATTGGGGGCCACCATATAGATTCTGGGGGCCATTGTGTAGCTTCTGGGAACCACCATGTAGCTCCTGAGGGTCACTATTTAGCTTCTGGGGGCCATCATATGGCCTATGAGGGCCACTGGGGGCCATCGTATAGCTTCTAGGGGCTACTGGGGGCCCTTCACATCTTCTGGGAGCTATTGGGGGCCATCATTTTGATTCTTGGGGCCATCATGTAGCTTTTTGGGGCTCCTGTATAGCTTCTGGGGGCCATCGTTTAGCTTCTTGGGGCCACTGGGGTCCCCTGTATAGCTTCTGGGAGCCACCGTATAGCTCCTGGGGGCCAGTAATTAGCTTCTGGAGGCCATCATATAGCTTCCGAGGGCCACTGGGGGCCACCATATAGCTTCTGGAGACCATAGTATAGTTTCTGGGGGCCCTTGTATAGCTTCTGGGGGCCATAGTATAGCTTCTGGGGGCCCCCGTGTAGCTTCTGGGGGCCACCGCATAGCTTTTTGGGGCCACTGGGGGCCCCTGTATAGCTTCTGGGCGCCATCGTATAGCTCCTGGGGGCCACAGGGTTTCCTGTATAGGTTCTGGGAGCCACCGTATAGCTCCTGGGGGCCACTATTCAGCTTCTGGGGCCAACATATAGCTTCTGGGGAGCACAGTATAGCTTCTGGGGGCCACTTGGGGCCCCTGTATAGATTCTTGGGGCCACTGGGGGCCATCATATAGCTTCTGGGGGCATCAGGAACCTAGTAATTAATGTAAATTGCCAGGTTTCACTAAAATCTTCAAATATGGGGGCTGTCAGGGGGGGTTAAATTAATTAAGTTATAATTTTTCTTAACAAATTGATGCGACTATTTATCTCTAAAGCAGAGGGAGAATAACTTCCTTTTAACTCATTAAGAACGTGAAATGTAAAAACCTCATTATCAAGTGATGTTACCATAGCATCTGAAATGTTAGAAATATTACATAAACCATATGATGAATCATCTTCACTTCTAATCATGCTATATACTTCAGATTCTTTAAGAATCAAGAATATGATGAAAATCAGACTATATGTATACTATTTATATGAATCATTGAAAGTGCATGGTAAATTATAAGATTGGATCTTTAATATACAGGGTCGAGATAATCGTTTTGACCCCTGTGAATGATAGTCAAAATGCATGTAACCTTTCCACATACTTATTAGTTCAGTTCAATACATGCACATTTTTACTCAATAAGATTGAAACAACTATGGTTGTTACTTTTTTTGTTAATTTAATGTTCTTTTTATAATTATCAAACAATGACGTTCACAGTAGCTGCCTCCAAAGCTGGATAATTTTGTTAATTCTGATCCAATTTTGAAGATTTGTTGTCTCTTTAATGTTGCTTATATCTTCCACTCATCA